CACCGTAACAGCAGCAAACTTAAAGCCATTCTGTAGAACCAGTAAACCAACAGCTGCGTCTGTGCAGAAACTAATATAAATAAGTCCTTCTCGTTTCTCACAAAAGGCGTGAGTTTGATTCCCATATGAAGGTGTTATTTTTGGGGTATCTCCTTTCTGCTGAGATCTAGAGGCACTGACTACCGGCTTCCATCTAGCATGCAGGATAAAACAGATCGCTATCCTTTCTTTGCGTCAATAGAATAGCAGAACATTCCGAAGCCTTTCAGCTTTAGCAAATATATACAATTATGATAGTTTTCTGTATTTTTAGGCCCCTCTCGACGTAATGTTGGTCATTTAGAAAGCTGTCTGCTTTGACTACCTGTCAGGACTAATGCACGATGAGCGCACTTGATCTATCTCAGCAGGCAAACGATTAAAAATGTATATAAATGACGTGCCAGCTGTAGAGCCTTTCTAAAGTAAAAGTTGTTCCCGCATCCGATCCGGACATTGTTAGCGAGACAACTTCCTGGGCCTCCGGCATATTGTGGTAGGATGGCCAGTTCCTTTCCACGCCGCCTTTACTTCCCCAACTCGAAGTCAGATACCCATTACTGCTTGATGGGCAGGCAGGAGGGGGCGAAAAAAATTCATGTCCGAACCAAGGCTCGAACCTGGACTTTCCGCTTCGGAAACGAGCACCTATCTGCCACGCCACAAACGGACCTTAAATGTTCCTATACTGTATATATTGTCTTAAATGTTCCTATACTGTATATATTGTCTTAAATGTTCCTATACTGTATATATTGTCTTAAATGTTCCTATACTGTATTATATTGTTTTAAATGTTCCTATACTGTATATATTGTCTTAAATGTTCCTATACTGTATATATTGTCTTAAATGTTCCTATACTGTATATATTGTCTTAAATGTTCCTATACTGTATATATTGTCTTAAATGTTTCTATACTGTATATATTGTCTTAAATGTTCCTATACACATTTCTAAAAACTAGACACAGCAATTTGTTCGTACTACTGTCTTTTTTTTTTCTTTTAATATAAATATTTGTAGTGTATTTGTTTTGGTTTCAAGATTGTACAGCGCAATGGAGCTCTCTGGGAGACAAGTGGGAAATCTCCGATTATGCTTTATGCTGTTTAAAAAAAAGAACTCTCGAGATAAAGTTGATGGCAGATCTGTCTTTGTTGGTTGTTTGTACCTTTCATGGAAATATGTTGCCATTGCACAAAATGCGCGAGATCGGGAAAGTGTCGCACCTCTTAAATTATCTAAATCGCAACATTAGAATTAAAAAGTTCCATCTGGTATTTTTGGCCTTTTTCTGTTACTAAGACCATGAGGTCAGAAACCAAATGTTCTATCTGTTCTATCAATATCGTAAGATTGTTCGGAGTCGTTATCAAAGTAGTCGAAGAAATGCATTCGAAAAAGCTTGACATATTGTGAAACTCAAAATATTTGAAGGTCAAATTTTTAAAAACTGAGGAAATAAAACTTTGTAATTCTAGGGCAATGAGATGTCTCAACCAGAGCACGAACATTTTTGTAAAATGTTACAATAAATTGAAACAGAAGTGCCAACGCCACTTTTACATAGTTGTTCACTTGTGACCCCTTTATTATAGAATCCTAGAGGCTATAGAGGTGACATTGTCTGACTTACTGACAAAGCTGTGGTGTAGGAACGCACGGCGTGTTTGGTCGCGCCATAAATCGGGAAGTACGGGATGTCGGCCAGGCCTGAGGGGGAAAGATAATATAGGTGGGGAGTTACCTCGTGCTTTGTTGTGCCTGGTGCTGGTGTTTTGTTGGTATAGCTTGGTGTGGTTGCTTTTGCTGATGCTTGTTTGATTTGGTTTGTATGGTTTTGTTACTAGTTCACACCCACACATACACATAAATACGTAATACACACACACACACACACACACACACACACACACACACACACACATACACACAGAAAGAGAGGAGAGAGAGAGAGAGAGAGAGAGAGAGAGAGAGAGAGAGAGAGAGAGAGAGAGAGGGGGGGGGGTAGTAAAAAAATAAGGATAAAACGGGGTGCTACTTTACTGGGTTGAAACCTAACCAGTATTAGAACTGATGTTGATGATTCTCCCACCGGCTCCCCCTTTGTCTTTTCTCATATGCTCAGTGGCAAGTTTAGTGCCACGGACGACGGCCATCTGTGGAAATACAAATCGAGATTTGGAGGTGAAGGGGAGGGGGAGAGTGGGAAGGCAGTAAACATGCCATAATGGACGATTAACGCGTGGTATCCAAGTTTTAAAAATGTAGATGGCGACAATTTTCTCAATAAATCTGTCCACAAAACAGTAACTCATCAGAGACGACACTTAATGCAATGGTGCCCTGTTTGTTGACTGCACACACGTTCACAATATACTAGCTAAATGCCCGTTCACAACACAATAAATGACATGCCCATTTTTCACAACATACTCGGATATAACGAAGTCGCAGGGCCTGACTTTCGATTTCGTAGAATCTGAGTGTTCGATATAGCAATGTGAGCAAAAAGTAGCGTCACAATGAAAGGCTTCGCATTCGGTAACGTCTGTTTCCACAGCTCAGTGGGCAATTCATTTCGTAGATTTACATCTATGTCTAAACTAGCCTTTCGTTTTCCGGTAGCCTTGGGGGGGGGGGATATGATTGTGACCCGTCTGCTGACTTTTCACGCCCGAAACGCCTCCACCCCACCCTACCAAATCTCCTCACACTCACAAACAGTCACCCAATAGACCTCTCTTGACCCTGGCACACACTAAGACACGTTATGTCTTACGTTTGTCTTTTTAAAAAGGCAAGTGTTGGTGTTAAAGAAAGCTTTTGATCGGACACACATGATGCATGCAATACATTAGGCTAAGCGTGCAATGATGCACGGTGCAAGTGCAATTAATGGGCTCTTGGAGTAGATAAAGTCCGTTGCTATGTCACTGAATCCGCGTTAGCTCATTTCTGTCTTTGAATCCGAAATATTTTATTGATTTTACTAGAAAAAAACCCAGGGAATCTGTTGCTTTTCGTTGAATCCGAGGTTTCGTTGAGTCCGAGTTCATTGAATCCGACTACCACCGTAGCAACTACATACCGACTCACAACACACAATTGACATGTTCTTTCAGGGCATACTCGTTCTCAACGAATTACGTACTAGTTTACAATACACTTTTACACCCGCTTATAACTCGTTTATAACATACCATTTCACTATACTCTCACTCTCAACACATACTCCCAAAACTTACAACACGTCCACCCACGACATATAGGGTGTTTCGATACCTTAGACCACCCCCAACTCCCCTCCCCGACTATCCGAATCTGCGAGTGACATGATGCTATCCTATATCGCCGGTGCCCTGAAGGAACTTTGAAAACTTGAATTTTTGCTAAAATCATATTTTTGCAACAAAGATTCCTGATACCTTGGTACATAATGTGTATAAATAGTAAATCTATGTTAAAACTACGAGTGCTCAAAAACCCGCTTTAAATTATGCGCAAACCTCTCTTTCCAACCCAACGACAAGTGTTCCGTTGAACCTCGCTAACGCGAAATAACAAGGTTACAACAGCTCGCGAATCAGTGAACCTCGCCATCTTCCTTCACGTGATCAATTATTTTATCGATTTCACTTGATGTGTTGAGGGCAAAGAGGTAACATTAAAGTATTAGAGTGCGTGGCAGTAATGTAATGACCCCCCCCCC